CCACCCCTGACCCCAGGGGCCCTGGCTCAGGAGGCAGAGGCTGGAGGGAAGGAGGAAGATCTTCTTTGCTGAGGTGAGCCCAGAACCTGTTCTGGGCCTTTCCACCTGCCACGTAGGTCCCCTTTCCAATGGCCTAGCCTCTTGCTGTTTCCTGAACAGCTCCCTCCTCCCACCAGCCCCCAGGGATGGTATACAGTGCTGTGCCCAAGAGGCACAGAGACCACCTGAGTTCAAGTCCCAGGCTTGTCACTATTAGCTCTGTGACCTTGGGCAAGTATGTTAGTCTCATCTATAAAACAAGGCTTGTAATAGTGTGTCTTCCTCCTTCGGGTTGTTTGTGAGGCAAACTAATCCATGCGAAATGCTTAGGACAGTGCCTGGTACATAAATGTTTAACAAATGTTCTCTCCTATTACTCTCCGCTCCTAGGCCAGCATCTCAGTTCCCATTCTCTCTGCCCACTTATGCCCAGCTCCACTTGATGAGCCCCTCCTCTCCCCAGCATCACCTGCTCTCCTGACCTCTGTTTCGCTCTCTGGGGAGACTAGACCCACAACAAGGACTGTGACATGAGCAGCAATAAGTGAATCACAGAACAACATGCCAGCCCCCTTGGTGCCAATCTCCTGACCGGTGACCCACAGCAGGAAATATATTTTGTGGCACAGCATAGTCTGTGCATTTATGCACATTCAACCTCCATCTCCATCTAGGTATGACCAGAGCAGAAATCTCACAGAATGACATCCATCCTCGCTGGGTGTGATCCACTCTTCCATTTGCCCATTTGTTTCTTTGGCTAAAGGCCAGTCCAACACAGGGTGGGATTAAGACCTCCAGAGGCCCTCAACCCTGAAAGGATTAGGGGTGAAAGGCCACAGCCTGTTTATGGAGAGGAGGTGAGGTCAAGGGGAGCTGCAGGGGAGGGTGCATGAAGGCCACTGGAGGCTGAAGCTGGGAGGAGCAGGCCAGGCCTAGGCAGTCACGGGAATGGGGCTGGACATTTCCTCTAGGCAACTGGGGATAACTGTAGATTTTCCAGTGCAGGAGGGCTGTACTCAGATCCGTGTTCTAGAAAGATCCCTGGGGTGGCTGTGGGGAGGCTGGGTTGGAAGGGCCAAGTCAAGGATGGGGCAACCTCCCTGGAAGCTGTTCCTGGCGTCCAGGTGAGAGAGAATGAATGAGGCCACAGTCGAAGGGACAATGGGGTGAGTGAGGAGTGCAGAAGAGATAGGTGCGAGAAGTGGCTGATGCTTTAGCTTGACTGACTTGGGTCCCATGTGATGCTGCTTCCTGAGGTAGGTACAGAGGAGGTTCAGTTTGTAGTGGGGTGGGGACGGGGGAGAGGAAACAATCATTCTCAAATTTGGATTCATCCAACAAACATTAATAGGACTGACACAGAGAAACTAACATTTGAGTTTGGAAAGGTAAACTCACAGAGCATTAAAAGGGAAAAAATAGGGATCCCTGGGTGGCGCAGCGGTTTAGCGCCTGCCTTTGGCCCAGGGCGCGATCCTGGAGACCCGGGATCGAATCCCACGTCAGGCTCCCGGTGCATGGAGCCTGCTTCTCCCTCTGCCTGTGTCTCTCCCTCTCTCTCTCTCACTGTGTGCCTATCATAAATAAATAAAAATTAAAAAAAAAAAGGGAAAAAATAGGGGATCCCTGGGTGGCTCAGCGGTTTGGCGGCTGCCTTTGGCCCAGGGCACGATCCTGGAGTCCCGGGATCGAGTCCCGAGTTGGGCTCCCAGCGTGGAGCCTGCTTCTCCCTCTGCCTGTGTCTCTGCTTCTCTCTCTCTCTCTCTCTCTCTGTCTATCATAAATAAATAAATAAATAAATAAATAAATAAATAAATAAATCTTTTTTTTTAAAAAAGAGAAAAAATAAAAGCCTAGCACCCACCATTGCAATCATTTCAAAAAAGAAAGAATATCTTGCTGCCCCCAAATAGGAAGGGCATAATCTCAGAATAAAGGACAGTCCTTTCTATGAGTGAATACATTTAGACTATGGAAAACCTCTACTTTGGGATGTTCTCCCCATTTTGCTGTGCCCCATTGAAAACATGGCTGTGTATCAGCCTAATTTGGGGACTGTGAGAGCCACAGGTGAGGGGGGAATGGACAGAGGAAGAGAGGTGGGCGACAGAACACAGGGAGGGATTCCAGAAGTAGGAGGAAAATGAGAGAATAATCATGGGGGCCAAGAGATGAAGGAGGGCTTAAGGAAAGAGGGCTTGGCCAATGGTATCTTTGGCCACCCAAGAGTTCAAAGGGATTTGGCAGTTAGGTTACTGGTGACCTTTGGTGGTGCTCATTCACTAGGAGGATGGGGTGGGGGCCAACCTGCAGGAGGGCTGAGGTACTTGAGGGTGATGGAAAGATAAGAGAGTGGGAGGGAGGAAGGGAGGGAGGGGAGAGAGAGAGAGAGAGAGAGAGAGAGAGAGAGAGAGAGAGAGCATGTTAGGGGAATGAGAGAACACATCTGAAGAGAGAAAAGCTGTATTTCTTGGCATCAAGGAGACCGCCATTTTACATTGGGAATGGAGAGAGCTAGAATAAAGAAACTGGCCTTTCCTGAAGAGAAGGGGCATGATGATGTCTGGAGGAAGGGCCCGGAGAAGGAGGGTGGATGAGGCCAAGGCCCAGATAAAGGGATTAGCCTTTAACGAGAGGGGCACCTTGTCCCCTGAGAAGGGAGGGCTGGGGAGGAAGGAAGTTGGAGCTGCAGGCCAATTTTTTGGGGGTGGGGCAGGGCACTGAGGTAATTCATGCTTGAAGGCCTCTGTTTTCTCAGGGAAGTAGGAGGGGAGGGGTGGAGCAGGAACATGGTAGGGAGCTGAAGGAAGTTTGGAATGTGGCCCAGGGAAATGTGGAGGCCAGACTTAGAGCATGACCAGGGAACACGCTCAGGGGTCTTGGGGCCCAGCTGAGGCTGTTGGAGTCATCTTGCCCTGCGCAGGTTTTGTCTGCCTCCCTAGGCTGTAAGCACCCTAAGGCAGTGTCCTCAGCACTTTCCTCTTTCTAGTCCATTCCCATGCCAGGCAATGCCCAGCCCAGTGGTGTGTAGCACAGAGGAGGGGCCCAGTCCTCTCAGGAGGGCCTGGCAGAGCCACCAAGGGCAAAACCCAGATACTATGGGGCTGTCAGGGGAAACAGAGGCAGGGCCGTAATCACCCCGAAGAGAAGCCATTCGTTTGGCTGTTCCACACCTTTCCTTGCTACACTCCTGGCCATCTTACTCCTGTTCTGTGCCAAATGGAAAGGCACACAGCCAGGCTCCCACTTCTGTCCAGCGACACTTGCAGGCCTTAAATCCTTCAGCAAGAGGGGCCGGGGCATCATCTCCCATTGACTGCTTGAGGCGGGTGGCAATTCTCAGGAGGTAGCAGGGCAGAGAGCAGTTGTGTGGGGAGACCAAACAGCCATGCAGATGGGCCTAAAGGGCAGCTGGGCTCCAGAAGAGCATGCTAGAAGCTGGCCTGAGGGGAACCCTGAAGCCCGCTTAGGAGAGCAAAGGGGCCAGACAGCCCCAGTGGTGAAGGATTGTGACCCAATGAACACAGGTTCAAGGCCAGAGGTGGCATGACGGGTGGCTTGGCCAAGTCCGGTTGGGCTTGAACTCCTGAGATCAGGAGTTAACGTCTCCCTCTTCCCCCTTTCCCTCTTCCCTCCTGCCTGATTTCAGAGGGCCTGGCCACCTGGAGGTCAAAAAGATCCCAATAGGGTTTCCTAATAGGTTTGCTTCTTTCTCCTCGCAGGCCCAAGGCCTGCCAGCTCTTGTTTCCACCTGGTGCCTCCCCTCAGCCTCACTCCTCTTCTGGGCCAGTGAAGCAGTTCCAGCAAACCCTCAACTTCTGGAAGTGAATTTAGCCAGGACCCTGCCAGACTGAAAGAGATTTGGGCTCCCCAGCAGCCCTCCTTCTCCCCTCTCTGGGGATCCGGGATCCAGAGAGCTTGCCTCGGAGCAGTCTGGGGCAGTGCATGCCACTGCCCTCATTTCAACACATATAATAAACCTCTGTTTATTGAGGGCTGGTATGGTGCCAGGCCCTTGGGTTAGGTGGCGGCTGGGCTTCTAGAAAGTTTTCCTTTGATGGAGCCAAGATGTGTCTCCCTGTAGATCCCACGGAGCAAGTGTCATCCCCCATCGGCAACCCCCAACCCCGACAGAGTTCTCTCTCCTCTGCAACTAAGCATTTCTTTCTTTCCTTTTACCTTCCACATGTCCTTATTTTCTATCGCCCAAAGAATATCGGGTCTTGTAGCATTTTCAAGGACGTTCAGAAAAGCACGAAGAAGGAAATAAAAAATCTCCCACAGTCTTGGCTCTCTCCCGCTTGTTTTCTTTCCCCACTCTTCCACCAAGCCAGTTGGAATATGAAATTGTCTAACCGTCCCAGCCCAAGTGAGGCATATGTTTTACCTGGTTTCTGATTTTTCCTTTGCTACCAAGCACATGGTGGGGCTGGAATTTGAAGTGGGGTGGGAGCCGGGGGTCAGGGGAACAGAGGAAACAGGAGCCCCTTCCATCGAGTTGTTCATACAATTTTGGGATCTGATTTTCTTTCCCACTTTCGGTGTTGATGCTGAGGCTTCCAGAGCATGATCGTGAGTGCCTGCTTAGTATTCAAGGGCAGAGACTCACCTTGCTGAATGTAGTTGGTTTCCCATTATTGGACATTGGATTTGTTTCAGATTTTGGACAATCACAAACCCTGACGGGGATGAATGCTGAGCCCCCAGAGGAATATTTTTGGGACTTCTAAAGCACAAGGAGGCTGCTGGCAGTTGTAACTGGAAGCTTTTTGGCAAAGGTCCAGAAGACTGGCTAAGGCCAAGGACTATGCTGGAGCAGCTGGGCTGCCCACCCCCACCCCCAGCCCTGGGGTCAGTACCCATGTACCCAGTACCTGTCACAGAGTGTTCAGGCTGGCAGGGCCCCTTGAGGCCACTGGCCCTGCACCCTGCACCCTCCTCTCACACGTGAGGGAACAGAGGCCTTGGGGTCAGGGATGGTTCTTCAGCAGTTTAGCAGCCAGGCAGAGACCTGCCTCCCCGCCACCACCCCCTCCCCACCCCAGCTCCTGGACTGGAGAGTAGGAGGGGGTGCTGAGCTCTGCAGTTTGGAATCTGACCTGGGAGCCCTGAAATGCTGCCCATGCTTCTTTACCAGACTACTTACTGCTGAGGCCGGAGAGGAGACTCAGGTACTTGAGGGTCATCCCACAGGCAGCTGGACCTGCTACACCCAGAACCTCCTTTTTTCCTGACCCAGGTGGTACTTAATGGCAGTGCCACCTAATATCAGGGCCACCTGGCAAATCTCTTGGGAGTTTGAGCCCAAATAACGTGTGGGTCCCTCACTCGCCTTAGCTGGGTCAGCTATCCATTTTCTACTGGGAACTGGCTTTGCCAAAGGCCTGTCTTTCCAGCGCTCTATGCCGGACAGCTTTCCGTGGTTTTCTGGTTTGCGGTGCTAATGAGCTTCCTTCTTTTACCCCCTGCCCCAGCCAGCCTTGCTACTGCCTGGGGAATTTGCACAAATGGTGTATGATTTGCCCCTTCTGTGTTTTCCTTTCTGACTTGGAGGTAAAGAAAACCCTTCACCCCCCACTGACTCTCTGTTTATTCAACTGGGAGAGCTTTCACACCCAGAGACCTGGGCTTCCCCTCCCAGAGCTCCCTGTTCTAAATCCTCACCCCTCCTCCCAGGTCCCCTCCAGCCCGAGCTGCCCTGAATAATTTATGAGGCCAGGCAAGCCTTATAAAAGGGTCTCCCAGGAAAGGCCAAAAGAATGCAGGAGGTTCTGAGAAATAAGAGCCCCTATGACCTGTCTGGCCTCGACCCCCTAAGGATGGACCCTTCCATTCCCTCGGCTGCTGCCCCTGGCCTATTAAGTCCACCACTGCTTGTCTCCTCTGGACAACAAGTAGGTGGCAGTGACAGGTAAGCAGACCTTGGCCCTTGGCGACAAGGACTCAGGCTTGGCGGGGTCCTGGGAGAGGAAGGAAAATGAAATGTCCAGGGTGCCCCTGCTCTCTGTGGAGGGGTAGGACAAGGCCTCACAGCCCTCAGAGCCCCTTCTGCATCTCAGGCTGGAGTGTCTCAACTGGCTTCACACCTCATTCATCCCTCTGGGTGGCAGGAGGAGACTCGGGGACAGTGGGCATTGGCAAAGCTGAAAGCCGAGCAGCCAGGGCCTCATGGGCCAAGTTGCTCACTGAGTCCACTGAGGAGCACGGGAGAGGCTGCCATGGAGCCTGGCTTTAATATGACCTATGCTGAAGAGGGAGTAAAAGAGGGCCAAAGTCCTAAGAAGCCTCTGACCAGGGGCCCTTCTCTTTCCTGACCATACCATAAAATCTCCATATTTTTTTCCTGGACCTCTGGAAGTCTAGTGGGGAAGCAGTGGGCCCAGAAATATTTCAGGCCCCTTTCCCCAGCCCCAGAAGATGGCAGGACTCTAAGCTCCCCTTCTTGGCATAGTCAGGGGCAAGATATTTTCCACCCAACTCCCATTTCTTCCTCCAGATGTGTAACATTCAACAAACCTTTAGCAAGATGCCTACTGTGTGCCAGGCACTGCACTGGGGTGTTGAGGATTCAGATACGGTCAAACCTAAACTGGTCCCTAAGAAGCTCAAAGGCAAGCAGATAATTACAAAACAGCATGACAAGAGCAACAATCACATTGTTCAGGTGGGGACGAGAGGGCAGGGGCCTCATGACAAGCTTCCTGGACTAGACAGCATCCGAGCCAAGTGTTCTGGAGGACTCTTTTGTTATCTCAAGGAGTCCAGGTTCCAGTCTCCTTCTTCCATAGATTGATCTCTTTGTCCTAGAGGAGTGTGTCTTTGGAGGCCCTGGCTGTCCTCTGCAAGGGACCTACCACAGTGGTGGGGGAAGAAAGGCGTCGAGGCGGTGAGTCTGAGCCCCCGATACATGCGGTCACATGCATAGGTGGCCACAGGCATTCACATTGACCCAAAAGGTCCGTTTCCAGAGAGCCCCAGCCCTTGGTCCAGGGCTGCAGACATGGCAAAGTATCTCTAATGCCTTGCTCACATTTGATTCTTCAACAGCTCTGGGAGGAGGGCAACCCTGAGATTTCTGTGGCAATCCTTAAGATGAAGAGACGGGTGCCCAGAGTAGGGAGGGATTTGGGCTGGCCCTGCCACTGGCCTGTGAGAGAGCTGGTGCTAGAATCCTGGTCTCCTGGCACCTAGCCCCAGTGCTCTTCCAGCCCGCCCTTACCTACCCCCCCCACCCTCGCCAATGAATCTTGGCTGCTTGGTGGAACTCTGTCTCTTGGACAGTCTCCAAACAGGTGTTAGAACAGGGCCAGCAAAGCGAACAACCCCCAGGACTCCATGCACTTGCTTTACAGCCAGAACCAGGACAGAGCCCCTTGCTGAGGGGGCGGGTAGGGGCTGCCCCCGGGATGCCTAAAGTTTCTTCTAGATCATCTTACGTAGGTTTATGACCCCTGATACAGAGGAGGCAGTTGTCTGGCCATGTACTTTGAACCACATGCTAGCTTTTGCTTTGGACAGGCCACTGGTGGGGCGACAGGTGCCAAAGTCATAAAGGCTGCCTCTGAGTTCCATCACCCTGTCAGGTAAGTCTGGCGCGCCGAGGTCAGAACTTGCTGTAGACCCACTCGCACTTTAAATCTGCACAACAGCCTTGTGAAGCAGGAGGAGGAGAGAGGCAGTGCCAGGATCCCTTTTTCATACATTAGGAAACTGAAGCCCAGGGTGGTTAAGGGAACTGGCCAAGGTTGCCTTACCTGAAGTCAATGTCGATGACCCCTAAGAATGAGCCCCTTTGGGCGAGGTCAGTGAAGGAAGCCTTAGTGGGACACCGAGGATGCAGGGATAGATCATTCTTGGCTAGAAGACTTCTGAAGTGGGGAGTGGGATCAGTGTCAGAGCTGACAGATGCCGGGGCAGGGCCTCCCCACAGCCATCAGCCCACCAGACATTACCTTCCAGCCTGCATCCCTTTTTTAACAATCTAGAGAGTTCTCTTACAATGTGTATGCACTTCCTCCTTTTCCCTTTCACCTCATTCTGTAGGCAGGAGAAGAAGTTTAGGGGTTGACTTCTTTCTTGGTCTTACTTGCCTCTCTGCAACAGATGGGACCCCGTCTAAGTTAGGGGCTATATTTCTTCTCTGTCCACAGGCTCTTCTGGCCTAAATCCCGCTCCTTTGACTACCTGTACAGTGATGGGGAGATTTTACTGCAGAACTTTCCTATCCAGGCAACGATCAACCTATATGAGGACTCAGATGACGAAGAGGAAGAAGAAGAAGAAGAAAAGGAGAGAGAAGAAGAGAAGAAATTGGAGACAGATGAAAGGGGGCTGGGAGAGCATGTGAGGGGACCATGGTCAGCACCACCCAGGGCCATAGCTCATCCTCCTTCCCCACTCGTGACAGGCCCAAACTGAACCGGTCAGAGTCTGATTGGGGTTCAGTATGACTGGCAAGGCTCTAGAGCAGCAATTAGCCAGGAATCTCCAGATATAGCCCTCTAGACTGTAAGTTGGGTCCTTGAGTCACCAGCATACCCTGGCCATATTCAGTTGGCCTGTGGGCCCAGGCCTCTGGCATCTCATTGTCTGTGTTTCTGTCATGTTGACAGTGTAAGGGTCCAAGAAGCTCTAGGGGAAGACCTGCTTTCTGAAGTTCCCAGGGAGCAGATCAAGACAGCGCATCCCCATGCAGAGAGAAACACCTACTCTTCAGGGGTCTTTGAATTCCTGGCATTCCAGCTGGCCCCATAGTCTGTCTCCCCATAGAAAGCCTGACTTCTGGCTTCACCTCCAGGGATTCCAACCTCAGATCCAAGCAAAGTTAGGACACCTCATTGATGGGCCTTGCAGGAGAGGAAGGGGGCATCTAGAAAATCTGCTTGCTTTGGGGACCTCCCTCCATTTTGCCTGCTATCCACTGGGGTCTGTATGTTGGTATGAATTGAATCAGGAGAAAATAAACTAGACAATGTGTGCCCTTTTCCTGGAACTGTGCTGATTTCTTAACTGAACTCTGCCCATGTTGTGAAGCCACAGGCAGTGGGTCAGAGACCAGCTCAAGGCCAATTTGTTGCCCTACCCGAGGTCAGTTGACAGATTCTACTCCATGGGGCTATAGGACCAGAGACTGACCCAGCATGGAGGACAGACTTTCTCTGTCAACTTGTGAAATCAGTCAGGCTTGATTAAACTTGATTAAAGACAGCTTAGAAGGGAGCAAAATGGCCCCCAAAAAGCAGCTTGAAAATTGGGAATATGGCGGGGGGGATTTAGTGAGAAGTACAGCCTCAGTTGAGCTTTGGAGATGAGTATATGCAGGTGGGGAGGAGGTTAGGAGGGCTCACTAAGTCCTGTCAACTTTATCTACTTGATTCCCTTTGTATCTATCACTGCTCAGGTCCTCATGCCTTTCCTGCCCCAAATACCCCAACTAATGTTCTTGCCTCCAGCAAGCCCCTTTGCAATTTCGCCTCCCCACTGGCCATCAGATAAGACCACATCGTGCCCCTGCTGAAAACCCTCCTCTGGCTCTTCACTGCCTCACCAACAATTGGACTTACCTCTTTTTTTCTTTTGGCTCGCAGACCCTCTTGAGACTCAATGGCTTCTGCCTTCATAGGTTCACAAATTAAGTTCTTTGTGTGATATTCTAGGCTGTTCAATCGCCTGGTTCTTCCTGTCTCTTCAAACTCATCTCTCTTGGCAGTTGAAGCCCATGCCGCCTGGCCTTGAATGTGTCAAGGCTTGATGGATTTTTAAGCCTCTGTCTGGAATGCCTTACCACCTTTGGATGTTTGGGCAGCTCCCATTCATCCAATAGGACTCGCTCAGACACCATTCCTGAGAGAAGCCTCTGCAGACCTTCAGGTCCAGGTTGGGTACCCCCATCTATTCAGTACCTCCTCTACCATAGCACCTGCCTCTCTCCCCAGGCAGCAAGATAGCTAGGTAGGATATCCCCATGTGACTTTATTACAGAGCACGCTGCCTGATACCAAGCACATGCCCAGCAAGTGTTGAAGAGAAAAGATCCTCAGGTCTTCTTAACTGCCTCTGCTCCTCCACTTGCTGGCTTCCTGTATCTTTGCGTAGCTACCAACAGGACAGGGGGACGTCATCTGATTGAGGAATAAAATGCTGGCCATTTCTTCCTCTTCCTTCAACTTGAGCTGGGTTGTTTCAGTGCTGATTGAGATAGGCTGCTTCAGTGCTGAGCTCTCCCTGGGCAGCAGCTGCACTTGACCAACTGAAGCAGACCACCAAACTCACACACACTGGTGCCATCTATTGGTCAGAATTTAACTTCGGTCCTTAATTCAGGCCACCCAACAGCTGACCTTTGACCACTGTAATTCCTGTAGTCCATTCTGTTTCTGCTTGTAAGTAAAGCAGACTCAACCTTGTGCTGGCTGTATGACCTTGGGCAAGTTAGTTATCCACTCAGAGCCCAGTCTTCTCATCAGTCAAATGGGGAAAATAATACTTCTTCTCAGGGTGGTTGTGAGGAATTCCATGAGATAACTTATGTGAAGTGTTTAGCAAAGTCCCTGGCACATCCTAAAAGCACTCGGTAAATGTAGTAGTCGTCGCAATTGTAGTTTTAGTAGTGGTTATTATTAATTTTATAACAGACATAAGCTTATCTGTAGAGTCATCTAATGACTGGTTTACTCGACTAATGACTGATTTATCCGGATCCACCCAATCTCCCTGGCACCATTTGGTTTGGCAGTTGAAGAATCTTTGTCATGTCTGTCTCCCATTAAAAGAAAAAAAACGCCAACAGAGGTCACATATGGCTTCCCAGGCCACTCTCCACGGGTTTCTTTTTCCTAAGACAGAGGCTTCAAAACTTACTTTTTGTGCTTCTGCGAAAACACGTTTTTTTGAATGCAATACAGAAGCCCGATATCCAAACCAAATGGAGATGGAGCTGCCCTGGCGGAAGCCACAATGTCTGATGCAGAATTCCTACCCTGCTGTCCTCTCTCCAATAACTAACTCTCTCCACTTCTCTGTGAGGTGCTCTCGGGGATTCCTAGATTGTTGGGAAGATGGTTTGGAAACCACTGTCCCAAGGGCTAAAACAAGATTGATTTGAAGTCGAATTGGGGGGCGGGGGGGGGGGCAGCCCCGGTGGCTCAGCAGTTTAGCGCCGCCTTCAGCCCAGGGCCTGATCTTGGAGACCGGGATCAAGTCCCACATCGGGCTCCCTGTGTGGAGCCTGCTTCTCCCTCTGCCTGTGTCTCTGCCTCTCTGTGTCTCTCATGAGTAAATAAATAAAATCTTAAGAAAAATGAAGTCAAAGGGGGATTAGTATTTTAACAAATCCAGTGTTCCTTTTAAAATCCTTGTCTGGGTCCTAAGCTCAGCATTTCATAGCTCAAAAATTGCTCGAGTCGTTGTACCATAGGTTGTGGGCATTTAAAATCCTTGGAATCCCAATATCCTTGGTTTTAGGGTATTATATAGCATAGAATTACAAATCCCTAAATCCCCAGGGGCTTAAAGACCCTAAAACCCTTGGAGCAGTAGTTCTTAACTCAGAATGAGCTTCTCTTACTTTCCCTGCCCACCTCCTCCTTACTGCGCACGCGCTATTGGTCAGCGGCAGACATCTTGTCTCACTCCCCTCCCAGTCCCCTGCCCTGAAATGGCTTCTGATCCTCCTCCCCACACATGGTTGCTAAGTGATTGGAATTCACTGTTATGAGTAACCAGAGCCCAGTGTGAGTTACTTTGTCACGGGTGTATCCAGTCCTTGTAACAACTTGAAATCCAGTGCACAGACACAAGAGAAAACTGCACAAAACTGGAGAGTCTTTCCTCCCCCTCCACGACAGCTGGCCCATCCTAGGGCTCCGTCCTGCCTCGCCCCAGCACTGATGTCCCTGGCTCCCCCACCCAAAAGCAACAGAGAGAGGGCACGTTAGTTGAATGGGAGGCTGCATCTGAGCTGGGCTTTGAAGGATGGGCCCAGGGAAAGATGGAGGAGGAACACTTTACAGAAAGAGGCAATGGTATAAATTCCTTCATGACACAAATACTTATTGAGCACCTACTCTGTGCCAGGCGATAATATTGTAATGGTTAAGGGCGTGGGTTTTGGAGGCAGATGCACCTGTGATCCTATCGGGTCTCTGCCACGTGCTGGCTCTATCCATAGGCCCACTCCACTCAGGTGTCAACGAGCTGTCAGCTCTCTGCTCATTCCCCTATGTCTCTAGGCAAGGAACTCCCTCTTCCCTACCCCACTGAGTATCACCAACCCCCACCTCTCCCCTCTCCCTCTAACTGAACCTGTGTGTTTATCTAGTGGGCAGTTTGTCTCCTTTCCACTTCAAGCCCCTGTTGTAAAATGGTTGCCCATCCTGTTCCCAAACAAGGTTGTCGTCAGGTGGCCCGAGTTCACTATTTGGATCTGTCGGGAGCCTGGTGTGGGGTACTGTACTTTTGGTTTACTCACAGGTGGGAAGGCTTGCAGCAACCTCCATGCAGGCACAGAAACCCAAGTACAAAAACCTGGCAAAGAGTGAGTACCTAGTAAGTGGTAGCCACAACACTCTTTACTAGGTACTTGCCATTCCCGTAACACCCATGATCACCTGTGGCACTATAATCACAATAATCCTAGGAGACAGGCACAATAATATTATGCCCATTTATGAATGAGAAGACTAAGAGTTAGCAAGGTCTTTGTAGCCTGGATTTGTGTGCTTGCATGAAGGTTGAGCTTTGCTCACTGGGGGTAAACTGAAAAACACAGTGGGCAACACCAGATCCCTGACAGGTCAGAACAGGGAACTCAGCCACCCTTTTACACCAGGAGCCTAGGGAGGAAAGGAGACAAACTTCCCATTAGATAGCCCTGCATGCGGAGTTGAGAGTATGTGGGTAGGAGATCGTCACAGCAAGGCAGAAGAGGGAGTTTTCCCTATGTAGAGGGGACAAGGCAACAGGATGGCTAGGAGGGCAAGAGTTACAACAGCTGATAATCATTGAATTCTTAGTATGGACTGAGTGCACAGCTAGAGACCTGACAAGGATGAACTCTTTTAATATGCCAATCCTGCAGGATGGGTACGGTTAGGAAAACTGAGGCTTACAGTGCTTTTTAAGACTATTTATTTATTTATCTGAGAGAGAGAGAGCCAGGGTAGAGGTAGAGGGAGAAGCAGGCTCCCCGCTGAGTAGGGAGACCTATGCAGGGCTCGATCCCAGGATCATGACCTAAGCTGAAAGCAGACAACCAACTGAGCCACCGGGACGCCCCTACAGTGTTTAAAAAGAAAAAAAAGCCTTGCCCCAAATCACACAACTGGTAATCCATGGCCCCTTCCAAGTGCCAGGCCCTTTACATGTATTATGTCACTTCATCCTTTCAGCAATCCTGAATCTTAAGTACTAGTTCAGGTGAGCAACAGTGAGGTTCAGAAAGATTAAGGAATCTGCTCAAGGTCACACAATTAATACGGCAGAGCCGGTCTTTGAGCGAGGACAGCACGTGCCTCAGGTGACCCCGACGCTAAGCCACAGGAGCAGGCTTCAGGTCTGTCTACTGCCAGAGCACCACACTTTCAGGAGATGAAATATACATGCTGGGGGAAGGATTACATCTGTGGGAGGGGAGGAAGAAAAAAAAAGTTTCCGTTCTGGCGGGGAGGGAAGTGAGTCAGAGGTTAGGAATAATTCCGGGCCAGGAAAAACTGAGGGATGCTGAAAGGCACAGAGTGGCCAAGCTTGGCACGTTTGCAGGGCCTCCAGCTGGGCAGCAGCGTGGTTCCCATAGAACCTGGGGTGCTTCCTGGGCCGCAGGACTGGGGGCGGGTGGCCAGGGGCTGCTGAGGGACTGCTCCTGGTCCTACCCCTGAGGGCTGTGTGACCTCTGAGTGCAGTGGGCCCCTGCTGGGTGTCTGCTTAAGAGCCTGGAGGGAGGAACTACCTACCCATTCCCAAGGTGGTGGGCCAGGCACTG